TTGCCTTAAAAGAGTAGGCGTTAAATACTCACTCTAAATCATTTAACTGATAGGGATATGATAATTTATTCCTAAACCTGAGAAGGCGGTATAAGTTGGATGACTGTCAGTTGAAGGATTTGTATATAGTGTAATTACTCAATTGTATATATTGTAAAAAGCTAATTGTCTTCAGACATATACTGTTACTATACTGTTACTAAAAAAATGGGCCTATTTCCTGCCTTTAGACTGTCTATTAGCTCTTGGACAGCGAAAATGCCTTTTTCCTTTCTTAAATTCTTAATCATTGCGACACGACAATTAGCCAGAAATTAATTAATTTCCATTCACTAGTATTTTCAAAAAAAAATCTTAACAGACGGTCTCTCTCAGATAAGAACTCCACGAAATACATCCCTCAAGAATTCCAAGTCCCACCCACTACCATAAATTACTTCACCCAAGTCTTACCGACTGATATTATTCAAAGCCCCTACTGCCACTAAGAATTTTCGGACACCCTACACTTCTGAGTCAGACACGAAGAGAACACTTTGCCAACTCCCCCACTAGAAAGAATTAAGTTACTTAATACCTTTCTGGCCTTTATATCTTCATGTGCATTCACTGATCTTGTTTATATTATTTTATATTATTTTTGTATTTTTTTTTTTTTTGTGTTTTCTTTGATTTGTTTTTACAGGGTTTGCATTGTTTATCTTTTTTGTAATCTTCTATGTTTATTTCAACTTTACTTTGAGTTCGATTTCATGGTGACGGTTTCCAATGTTTGATTTCTACAGGTGATGTAGTACTCAAATACATAAAGATGATAGTGTCGGGGACGGTTACTCGAGTTTTACAGGATTTCTCTACAGTAATTGATTTTTGCTCCAAATTGGATTGACTGGAATGCTTCATGAGAATGGGTTCTTTGAGTAGCAACTATTCGCGGAAATTTTTGGCTTGACTGGAATTGCCGGTTTGGCTTTAACTTATAAGTCGAGTGAAGACGAAACACTTTCATATTTACGTATTTTTATCAGTTATTGTTCATTGAACGGGAGTTGGTTTGTTCCCCTTGAAAAGTAAACTAATTTCCGATCAATGACAATAATTACATGTTTTGATTTTTCCTTTTGCAATTGATATATTATTCTTCGTGATGATTTAACTCCAGTCCCCGTTAAAACACTATTAACATTTTGCTTTCAAATTACTTCAAAACATCTTTCAAAATATAACTTACCAGTATGGATGCACACTTTTAAAATAATTCTACTTTAATTAAACTTAGGAGATAATGTAATCAATTAATCAATACTGTTTAGGAAATAAATTATTATTAACTAACTTTGCAGCAATTGCACAAGTGATAATAACTTGTATTCGCACTAAATGGATTTAAGTTCATACAATATTACAACATAAAAGTATATGCAGTTAAATACTGAAAATCCACCAACTCATGAAATCCACGTTGCCTCTCAAAATATAAACATTCAGTTTATAGGTTCTGGAAACCGCAACATTGAGTACGAAATATCAAAGAAAAAATACTTACCGAATAACAACGTCATAATTACCGAATAACAATGAGCCATAACCGAAATACCAAATTATTGACATCATGATAAAAGTTTTTTCCCCTCCAACCTGCATCGAGGTAAAAAAGCAGACGATTCACTCAACTCTTCTTTCAAGTTCACGATTCACATTGTTGTATTTGCTGAGCTTTGTTATTTCACGAGATTATTTAGTGCTGCCTTTTTTTTTTATCCGTATATTTTGTAGATAAATTAAGAATATTTTAAATTTCAGCCCTTTGTAATACATTTACAGATAAGAAACGCAGACTTCAGTGAATCGCCGCGATATCATATTTTAAGACCGTTAACCTTTTTGATCTAAAATACATGAATTTTGAAATAGAAACATTAAAATAGTTGAAATTAATAAAATTTAAGTTTTTTAAAATATGAATGTGTGTTTGTAGGTTTTATTGCACTGATATGGTTATTGCAAAATACTTTAAAGCATGAGAAACAACAAAAACCTGCATAAAATTAGAAAAAAATCAATAGAAAGAGGTTAAAATATTTATATCTTAGGCATTTAAAACATGGAACTTATTTGGTGTAGGTTGTTGTATGCTACATTAATGATGATCATCTTTAGATTCCTAGCTACTAATTTTTATTATCATATAGAACACTGCCAAGTGATCTTTTACTGCATTCTAAAAATCGGCTAAACTAGTTTGAATCAGACAAAATATTCAAAGGAATCTCAATGAAATTGTATTAGCTTTATGTCCTTGCTGTATCTTCCTTATCGAAATTTTTGAATGACAAAAACAAATGTATTACCTGAATTATGATCATGATGCATTGAGGAATAATTCTTTTTTGAAAGAAATACTTCAGTTTTATTTCTGTCAGTGCCAAGAAAGATGAAATGGAGATGTAGAAGAATTCGTTGAACTTTCGCTGTTTAACTAAGACGTGCCATGCACGTCGAGATGCTTTTGTCTCAAACCGCGCTCAAAAATGAAAATAACGTGGTGCACACGTTGCCTAATGAGATTGTTTATTTTTCGAGTTACAGCTCTATATTGCACTCGCAGACGCGAACCCACCAGTGGCCGAGCGGTAAAGTCGCTGAACACTAGTAGTTCAGTCCGAGGTTTGAATCCCGCAAACGGGCTGGTTGCATGCGCGTTTTCATTGTTTTCCCCATGTGTAACATGTATAAGAGCCAGTTTTCCATAGAAAGTCCTCCACGAAGGCATCCCACCCCCTAGGCAGATGGCCCTTGAGGCTTTGCCGTAATCACACACTTACACATATACTCACAGATGCGGAGCGGCGTAAATGAGACACTTTACCGTTTGTTATATTTTAGCGCACGGCACTGCAACCGTGAAGTTTAGTCGTAGTGCAAGTGGTTAATCTAAAATACCATATATAGATCACAGTTGTAGTACTATTGTAAATCTTCACCAGTGCTGTTATTACATTCAATTTATTTACTGTAAGTGCTCCTACTTGTGTGAGGAATTTTATAAATATCAGTTAAGAAATACTTAAGACTTACAAATTAAAATGTTTTATTTGAAAACCTTACTTTAACAGCAACTGTAATAATGAAAAAAAAAAAAAAATAGGCTGCTATAGTGTCATTGATGATTGCACTGCCGAAAAAAATATGGAAAGTAGCATTTTAGAATATTGGAACTAATTTTTATTTAAAACATTAACATAGAATTTCAGTACATTTTCTCCTGTTTTCGTTTGACCTTTTGCCGCTTACATGATGTCTGTTGAAAAGCATTGTGAACTCCAACTTCACCTTAACCCCTTAACTGCCGCGGAAAACGTACGAGATTAATTTCCCAATGCCACTGTTTTTCACACAGGCGCGAAGTTATGCGATGTATTTAGGGGGAAAATAAATGCAAGTTTTACTCTCTAAAAACTGTTTACTTTTACAAAATAAAGAATAAAAGAAAAAAATGAATGCACAAAATTTAATGTTTTGAGTAAAAGTATAATGAAAATGATATTTTTATAATAAAAAAAAAACCCCTAAAATGGAGTTTCGATCAATTCATTTTTAGACCAGTAAAGTGTAATATCATATTTAAGTGTTATACCTTGTGAAATCAGTATGCCTAAAAAAACATATATTTCTTCTGAACTGGTTGAATGCCACGATTTTGTTCTTGATTTTTCGTTTGCAAGATGTTGGTTCATATACTCGTCTACAAAACAGTTAGTTTCAGTAGCAATATGAAGCACGAGCAGTTCATCAAAAAATAATTCAAAAAAGATAAATGTGTTTGAAACATCCGTTATATCCTTATTCCTGGAACTTGCTACAAAAAGTAAATGAAAACGGAGGACATAAAATTAAAAAAAAATGCTCTTTACTCAAACAACAGCAGCCAATACCGTGCAGTCATTACTTTCACAGCTTTAGACACACCCCTCTTTCCAATTTCTCCCTACATTTCTCTGAAATAGTATCCTCCTTCGCATACTTTGTCAAGGTCATTGTGGTGTTGCATTCCAAAGCGAATAATTTTACGAGTAGCAGCACAAAGCAAATGATAGTATTTTGGAAGGGTGTATATATACGCCTGTGGCAGTTAACGCATTGGCTGAGCAAGGCATATATATACGCACACAGCAGTTAAGGGGTTAAAAGGCAAAAGCTTGGCTATGCTTTTTACTATTAACCTATAAAGAAATTCTTGCATGAATAAAAGTTTGAATAATATGATAATAAAATATAAAATGTTTTTCTAATTATAGTTTTGTATGAATACTTGCTATTATTTCAAACTGAACTTTTATGCAGCTGGGAAGAAATTGTAGATTGCCATTTTGAGGTCTTTTAGAAGTCATATCCACTAATTCTAGTTAATCCGAGGCAAGGCAGTTTTTTTAATGTGTCGTAACAAAATGTTATACAAAACTTTTAATACATCCTTTCCTCCTTAGGCCACAAAAATTAATTTTTACTTAATTGTCACCATTCAGTCAAATATTCAGGTAGGAAGGCAAAACAGTTGGATTGAGCCTGATGCTTCCCACTCTACGATAAGTTGTAACATTTTAATTTCCATAGTGTAAGCCTTATTTAATGTAATAAATGCAGTAACATATTGCTGAGCTTCCCTTGGAAAATGATATTCTAGATTGTTCATAAAAACCCTGATTCTATTTTTGAAATTTTTTGGATAACTTTGAACTCATGGGCTTGGCTTAGTTTTATTTTAAACTAGACTTCATGGAATAAAAGCAGCTTTATGTTAACTTACATGTATCTCAAAACTGAATTATTAAAATAGGTATGTTTATCAATTAATGTATTATATTTTGACAGCAATTATTTTTCTGCATGTAATGCTATTTGTTCTATTTAACAAATAATGTTTATATTGTTTAATGTTGCAATTCATACGACACTCGAATTCTTCTTTTATGGGCTCATTTAATCATTTTTAATTTTAGCTGATGTTGAAGTGAATCTGCTTGATGAATTGCTTGATCCAGGTGTAGATGATGAATTAATAGCAGAATTGGACAGTCAAGAGAAAAAAATTGGTGTGTATGATTATAATAAAGATTGTATATAAATTTATTATATCAGATCAATGATATTTCAAAACTGATATCTTTGTCAATTTTTGTGTGTGAAATTTTAAAGAGATTATAGAAAGGTACAAATATAAAGTAAAAGCTGTGTGATAATCTGTTACGTCATCCAAGTATACATGAAAATAATATTTAAATTTCGTTCATCAAATGCAAGCTTGTTAAGTTTTTTAAAATTTATCCTGTATCATTTTATTATCCTTTTGGCACTTTTTGATTATTTATACCTTTGGTTTCAATATGTGATAGAATTGCCATAGCTTCGAGTCTGCATGTGAGAATAGCCATTTCATGCATGCATTATACCCCACGCATGTTTGGAAAAGAAAAAAAAAAAAAAAAAAAAAGAATATGTGAATTTATGTTAGTGTTTAACCATCTTTTCACTCAACAGTATCCACCAGGTGTAAAAGTGTAAATATCGTTCACATTCATTTATGTTTTTGATCATAACACATTGTTTCATATAAAATGTCTTTTTTTGTTATTATTGATGAACAGAAGAGTATGAATCATAAAAATAGCCAAGCAAATGGTTTCTTACCAGTGCACAAAAAACACCAAGTAGTCAGGGACCAAATTCAAAAATGCTGGGCTAACTACCTCGAAGAGTTATCTACAGACGATAATTCCATTTGGAAAGCTACTTCGAGGTTAAAAAGATGCTACACAAATATTCCGCCCCTTAAAGGCCAAAATGGGATCGCATACACAGAAACTGAGAAAGCTCAGTCTCTTGCAGATCACTATGCTACTCAGTTTTCCATTAATAACATTCCTGATACTCACACAGAGCATACTGTTGCTAATACCATCACACAATTTCTCTCAAAACCACGCACAAACAACAGCATCGTAGTCAATCCATCAGATGTTCTTGGCTATGTCGAAAAATTGAAGATTAAGAAATGTCCAGGTCATGATAAGATCATCAACCTTATGATTAAAAAAATGGGCTTACTAATGATCTGCAGCCTAACCCACATCATACAGCTAATCTTCGACTTGAGATATTTTCCCTCTGCAATGGAAAACTGTGATCATAGCTCCAATTCACAAGCATGGGAAATCTCCAAATCAGCCTGATTCCTGCCATCCCATAAGTCTATTGCCTGCTTGCAGCAAAATTGCTGAATTCATTGTATTAAAAGAAATCGAAGCAGTACTGGAAAGCCAAGGACTTCTTATTCCACAACAATATGGATTCAAAAGCAAACACTCTATTTAGTCACCGAATTAATATCCACAGGCCTTAAGGATAAAAGACATATAGCTGCAATATTCCTGGACATAGCTAAGGCATTTGATCATGTTTGGCTTGATGGCCTCATTACTAATTACTTTGGGATTCCCAGAGCACATCATAAGAACGCTTTATTCCTATCTCTCAGATAGATACTTTGTCATTCGTGTAAACAAAATCTACACCACTAAATGCAAATTATGCATGGGAATGCCACAAGGATCTCTTGTCGCACCTTATTTATTCAATTTATACATGAACGATATCCCCCCCTCCCACACACACACGACACAACACTTGCTGTGTACGTGGATGACACTGCGATCCTCTTCCAAAATGCATCTTTTAGCACAGCTATACAACAGTTACAAATTCACATACATGCACTGGAATCCTGGCTTCTTAAATGGAAGATCAAGATTAATGTCGATAAAACCATAGCAATCATTTTTTCTAGGAAAAAGAAAATAGACGGAAATCTGGTTATTTACGGTACTACCATTCCTTGGGCCAAGGAAGTCAAATACCTTGGAGTTTATCTTGATCAACGTCTTGCATGGAAGCCTCACATAAAACACATAACTAACAAGTTTTGAGTCAGTAAAAAACTATTCTACCCCCTAATCGTTCGAAACAGTGTTTCAGCACTAGATGATAAATTGCTCATTTACAATGCCATGCTTCATCCCATCTTAACCTATGCCTGCCCTGTTTGGGGGTATGTCTGTAATTCCTCTATGCAAAAACTACAACAGCTACAAAGTGTCACTCTGAGACAAGTTACCAATAGTACTTGGTATATTCGAAATGATATATTTCATCAGATTAACACCCCATTTATTGTGGACTTTATGTAAGACTTGCAAAAAATTCTACAAAAATATTGCTAAATTTAATAATCCCACCATCCCAACAATGCAGTACGAATTAATGACCCAGAAAACAGAAAAAGGCCACAGGCCTTGCTTAGATTATTACTAAAATTATTATTGTAATTTAAGAAGTCATGTGCAGCCAGTGTGCTGCCATCCTGTCTCATTGTTAAAAATATTAAAAAAATGTTACTAATAATAATTATTATGTCTATAATTATTATACTGTAAATTAAGACTGTATGACTTTATGAATTTAAGTTTAGTTATGGAAAAAATTTTTGAATATTTTTCTAAGTTCAGCAGGTAAGTTTCTAAATTAAACTCCGCCCCCTCATTACTATTCAGCCGCCCTTCTAAATTCGTATCGTCTGAAAAGAGTCGTTAGCCCCTCCCCCTAGCACACAAATTCGCACTGTACCCACTCAGCTCTCTCGTAGCTTTACTGAAGATAAGCATCTAACTCCTGCCTCCTGAATAGCCACTAGCTACTGCACTCCTTCGAAGACGCCTGCACATCGTATAGCAGAGTAAACTACGAATGTATTTTGCTTCAGCATCTTTATGTATTCATGTGTTGCCTATTGCATCTTTACGAACTCTTACTACTTGCTCCTGCTGCTTCAGACTTACCCCCCTTCCCCCCCAAAAAAATTCTTCCTTTACATTAGTATTGCCTAAAACCTCCATATGCTACTCAACATTCGCAAAATTGCCTAATTGTTATATTGGGGTAGGGAGTCTTCCCAGGTATCCACAAGAATGAACTTTGTTCACGAAGTGATATAATTTGTCCAACACTGTAGTTTTTTTATTCATGTGCAGTTCAATGTTGATTCATCAACTCTTAGCATTAGCTCTGGCCAAAAGTTATCAAACATTTTAAAGGATTTCCATCAACTCACTATAAAACCAAAGAAATTGTACAAATTACAAAAGCAAGTGATAACATGGAATTTTCAGATATAGAAGAAGGAAAAGTCTCAAGAATGAATGAAGGATTGGATGATCGTATCACCAGCCAGTGTAGAAGAAGCACAAGTATGAAGACAAAGCACCTTTAACTTACTAGAAGTTAAACAAATTGTTAAAAATGGCACCAGAATTGTCTGATTTTTGCTATGGAGAGTGAGCCAAATGAAGACACGAAAAGATACTGTATGAGTGTCATTGAGAAAGTATGTGCTTCATACCACAATACTTAAGAGTTGCACCAAGCATTGTCACAAACAAAAATCAACAGCTTTTAAAAAAAAATAATTGTGTCATGTGTTAAGATGTAATAAAATCCTTTCAATTTACATTTGTTTCCCCTTTTTTTTTCCTTTCTTTTAGTTACCACAATATTTAGGCTCGTTTATGCATATGTTTTGAATCTGAATTGTACCCAACACACTTTTTCCTTAGAAAGTTAATTGTGCAGAAAGCTGTTTTGGTGTAAGTGCAGTGTGATAATTATGTAACCCTCGTGTTTATTAAGAGTTTACTGTGCACTTCTTAATTTATTATTATCATTGATACTGTTCTGTTATCAGGACTGGGTTCAAAAATGTATGTATGTATCAGGGTTCGTACGGTCTTTAAGAGTCCTTAAAAGTCCTTAAGTTTTTTGGAATCAATTTTTAGTCCTTAATTTTGGCCAAAATCGACAGAAGGTCCTTAATTTTAATAATCTGACATTTCTGTCTGTCTGTACGACTGCAATTTTGAGTGTGAATTAGCATTTTGCAGCAATATTTTTGGCGATTCACTGACAAATATGGTTATTTTTTGAATGGGTTTATGAGTTATAATGTGTTCCTATTTGTAATATAACTGGTGGAATACTCAAGTTTCTGAGCAAGAAGTGAAACATAAGCATTTCGAAGTTATTTCATTTTTTGTAATGAAGAGCTCTCAAACAACTTTCCGCTTTTGGGAATGTGAATTCTTTTAGTAAATGGTTCTAAATTTGGCGACTTATCAACATTTTGATGATTTTAAGATTGGTTTCTATAGAAAATTTTTAATTCCGAAATCTGGGAAATTTTTGACGACTTTTTTAGAACATTCTAACACTGATAAATTTCATTAAAATAATGGTAATGCATTGGAATTATATTTAAGAAATAACATTAAAATAAAGCATTTTTATTTTTCACTGTCATATTATAAAGTTCCATTTTGGCCACATATATACATATTATACAATGTTTTGAATCTGAAAAAAAAAGCAGGGTATAATGCTATAAAGCACAATATATGAAACAGTTTTTAGCAAAAGCAAAATAGCTATGTAATTAATTAAAAACGTCTTTTTAAGTTTTTCATGGTAAGAGTTTTGGTGCCTTTCTAAATTCTGCTTTCAATGCCTGCTCTAAATTCAAAAAGTTTTTCCATTTCTGGATTATGTTGCTTGGTGTGTCACTAAATTCTAAAAATTATGCCACACCAACTCTGTGACCAGACCTTACCATATGCATTTCACAGGGGCATAGCTAGAGTTTCCAGTGCCCTGGGACAACTGAAGAATTTGCGCCCCTTTCTGTATACCAAAGATGGAAAACATTTCATTAAAAAATTTCGTAGCATCAGTTTGGCACCCCTTGGATGCTGCGCCTGGTAACAGATGTCCCCCCCCTTGCCCCACCCGAGCTACGCCACTGGTATTTCGTATTACTCAAGAAATTAAATTAGCAGCTTTTTCCATACATTCTAAATGTATTTTGTCTTTTAGAATAACAGAAATCTATAATTAAATCCAAAAACTGAGAAGTGAAAAGGAAACGTGTTGAAGAAACGAACTAAATATGTAAAGAGAAAGAAAATTACTCTTCAGACATATGTAGTTATTA